GATGCACCTGTGATAAAATTATAAGGTTTTCGTTTAGGACGTTTAATATTAGATAAGTGTATGTCTTCAGTTGTATTTTTATGACTAGTAGTGATTTTGGCTGTTTTTCTTTCGCGATTGGTATTCTTTATTTCTTCTTTTTGATATTTATTTTTTGTTTTTCCTTTAATTTGTTTGTTACGCACAAATATCTTGGGCGGGATTATTTCAGGTAATTTTTCACGATTTAAGTTTGCTTTTCCAATTATTTTTTCTTTATTTTCTTGTATAGTTTTATTTATTTCTGTAAAGTAACTTCATTTTTTCTTTATGGTTTATTATATAATTATTATTAAGTTGCTTTTCAAGCTCTAAGTCAAATATAGAGGTATTTTCTAAATGTCCATTTATTATTTCATAAGGTTTTAATTTAGTCAAATTAAGTCAAATATAGGGGTATTTTCTAAATGTCCATTTATTATTTCGTAAGGTTTTAATTTAGTCACTGAATGTATACTACTATTATAAGAGAATAGGGCATAATTGACTTTTTGTTCTATTGGTTCATCTTTAAATTCGTCGCGGTTATTAAATAATCTAATATATGTTCTATAATTGTGCTATGGAATCTTTCGGCAATTCCGTTAGATTCTGGGTATTGTGAGGATATAAAATGGATCTTGCTTTTGTGAATAGAAAAAAGTTCTTGGACAAAAGAATTTTTAAGTTCGATACCATTGTCCGAGATTATTTGGTCGGGTATATTATGATGAGAGAAGTACTTTATTAGGGCGTTTACAACTTCTATTCCTTGGGCGGAGTTTAATTTGTACAGTTGACCATATTTGGAAAATGAATCGATTAACGTTAGAAATTTAGTATTTTCTAGTGTGACTGTATCGAGATGTAATATTTGGAAAGGTTTGATTGCTGTGGGGGTAATATTATAAAATGGTTTGATTGGTTTTCTGTAGTATTTAGTTAGTTGGCCGATTTCGCACTCATTTATATAAGTTTGAATCGAAGCCCTTTGGTTGGGCCAATAATATATATTTTTTATACGTGACTCGGTCTCGTCCAGTCCTCTATGGTTTTGTTTTCCTTCATAATAGTTTCTAATTATTTCTTTTATTTCATCGAGTGAAACATAGATAAGTTTTTTTAAACAGTTAATGAAGGATATTTGGGAATTTTTAAAGAATTTTTGAAGAACTACGCTAAACTTTTCGTATATAGGATTTTCAAAATATAAATGATATTTTGTTCTTGGAACAATATATTCTTTGACGAATTTTATAACATCTTTTTCGAAATTGTTTTTCGAAAATTGCACTAGAATTCTTAACTTATTATTAAATAATTTAATGATACTGGGTGTTGCTGGTTCGAAGTTTACTTCGGAAATTATTATTTGGTTTTTTCCTACATTTACGGCATATTCTGCGATAGGGATGCCGATAGTTGGATTTTCTTGATTGGTAATTGGTGTGTATTGTGTTATCCTCGTCATCTGGGTCTTCATTTCTTTCTTCGCATTCAACTATGAGTGATTCGTTTTCTATATCATTTTTTGGAGTATTAAGAAGTTCTTCGTCAAAATTCATTACATAATCAATTTTTTCTTCGGTATTTAGTTGTGCATCATTTGTTTCATTTACGTTTAATTCTATCCTGGATAGAAAATCACTATTAGTGTTTAATGCACCCTTTTTGTATATGCCATTGTAATCATGTTCCTCAAATTTAAGGCGCCATCTAACTAACTTGGAGTTAGGGTCCTTTAAAGAAAATAGCCATTGTAATGGCTTATGGTCAGTTACAATTGTAAACTTACGACCAAAAAGATAAGGGCGAAAGTATTTTGCTGACCAAACAATTGAAAGAAGTTCCTTCTCAATTGTTGAGTAGTTTGTTTCGCTTTTATTTAGAGTTCGACTAGCAAACGCTATAGGTAAGTCAGATCCGATTTTTCCGTGGCTCAATACAGCTCCTAATGTAAAGTTGCTTGCATCTGTGGTTAAGTTAAATGGTTTAGAAAAATCGGGGTACTGTAGTATTGGGTCATTAATAAGAAGGTTTTTACACATTTCAAAGCACTGAGAATAATCTGAATCATTTATTATTGCATCTTTTTTTAGACGAGAAGTTAAAGGCTTAGTTAATTTTGAAAAATCTTTTATAAACTTTCTATAGTATCCCAATAAGCCTAAGAAACCTTTTAGTTGTTTAGTATTTTTTGGAATGGGAAAGTTCACTATAGCTTTAATTTTATCTGGATTGGGTTTTACGCCATCTGGTGTAACAATGTGTCGCAGATATGCAACCTCTTTTCTTAAAAATTCTGATTTATCAATCTGAATTTTAAAATTTGACTCTCTTAGTCTTTTAAAAACTTCTTTTAGATTTGTAAGGTGTTCTTCGAGACTAGTACTAAACACTATAATATCTTCTAAGTACACAAGACACTTTTCATTTTGTATTCCTCGAAGTATATTATCCATTACTCTTTGGAAGGTCGCCGGGGCATTACGCAATCCAAAGGGCATTCTAAGGAATTCGTAGTGACCGTTTTCGGTGTTAAAAGCTGTTTTAGGTATATCTTCTTCGGCCATTTCTATTTGATGAAATCCCGAAGCAAGATCTAAAGTTGTGAAATACTGACAACGACCTAGTTTGTCAAGTAAATCGGAAATGTTAGGTAGGGGATATCGATCTCCTAAAGTAATTTCGTTTAATTTTCTATTGTCAACTACGATCCTATATTTAGGTACTTGGGAGTTGTACAACTTTTTTGGAACTAACCAAATTGGAGATGACCATGGTGAGTCTGAGGAGCGGATAATATTTTGATCCAGCATACTTTGAATCTGATTCTGTACCTCTTTTCTATAGATTTCAGGATATCTATAGGACTTCGAGTAAATAGGTATATCGTTAACTGTTTTAATATTATGTTTTACTTTACTAGTAAAGGATAGCATATTGCCTGTTACATGAAATATATCTGAAAATTCTTTGATTAGCTTTAATATTTTTTCTCGGTTCTAGGAGGCACTACTATGCAATTCATGCTTTCCTTGTTAATATTGTGATAAAAAATTTTAATTTGACTATTTTTTGTAATTAAAACATTATTTGTAAGGTCTATTTTGGCATTAAGTTTCTTAAGATTGTCTAATCCTAATAAACAATCAAAGTAGTCATGAAATTTAAATATATAATAATTTAATTTCATAGGATTTTTTGTTTGAAATATTTTAAAAGTAGGAATTACAGTACAAAAATTTTGTTGGGTCATGCCTAGCGCTGTTGAAACTTGAAAAGGTCTCCGAAAAATGGAATTTTTAAAATATTTTTCCGCTACATTTGGAACAACAAAAGATTTAGTACTACCGGTATCAATTAAAACTTTCAGATTATTTTCAGGAAAAATTATATACGGTAGTTCACTTTCTTTATTGGTTAAATTTAATAATTCTATTCTATTTGGTCCGAGGCAAGTTGCTCTAAAAAATGGTCATTTATTTCAGAAGTATTTATTTCGTCTATATTATGTAGTTCTTCTGGAATTATATTTTGTGATTGGTTTGAAAAATAGTTTTGATTACGAGGTTTATATCGGTTTTGATAATTTTGGTTCGGTCTCGAAGTATTAGTTGTTGAAATAGTCATTGGAGTTGGGTTTGGAAGATTTCGGTTTTGATTTGGTCTAAAAACGTTATTATCTCTGCTACTGCCAGGTTGGTTTTGATTATTGTTAAAAGTTCGGGTTTGCGCGTTTTGATAGTGACTTTTTGGATATTGAGAATAATTCTGATTTCTTTGGTTGTTATGTTGGAAGTTCAATTTATTTGGTGGAACATAATTGGACGAGTTTAATTTGTTTTTATGCGAAAGGTTATTTGATGATGAGGGGTTTTGATTTTTTGTAGAATTATTTTGTCCCATATAAATTTGGAAATCATTTGTTAGAACGTTTAAAGCTGTGTTCATATCCATAGGATTTTTAGTACGCATAAGAGTACCTAAGGGTTCCTTAAGACCACGTAGCAATACTCTTAAAGCTAGATTTCTGAAATAACTACCAAGTATCTCTTGTTCATTAATATTAGAACGAGTTTGCAGCAAAGATATTTGGAGATTTAAGAGATGCTGTATTTTTTGAAAAAACTCAAATGGCGATTCATTGTCTTGTTTAAGATGCGTGATTTCTATACTAAGTGTATATACTTCTCTTTTATCTGCATAAGTGTTTAATAGAGCATCTTTTAAATTTTCCCAAGTTCTTATAGTACATGAAGAAATATTTATTATAATAATATGAAGTAACGCAACATCTCCATGGAATTCTGGGATCATGTCCAGGTATTCCTTTTTTAGTTGAGGTAAAGCCATAGTTAATTTGGATTTTGATAAAATAATTTTAGGAAAAATATTAGAAGTATTTGGTTGAGTATTAAATGAAAGTTTATTGTTGTTTGAGTCAGAATCTGAGTCAGAATTACTTGAACTGTCTGAATTAATGAAACATTTTTGCTCTCTATACGACATAAATAAAGGTACTTACAATAAGAATAGTTTCCAGCCCATCTATGTTCTGAGTCCAACAACGGCACGGCAGGAACAGGAACTTCACAGGAACTTCAATATTCACTTGAATTTTCCTTTACACTATTCTTCAAGTCAGGCTACTCAATTCACCTAACTAAGAGTCTTTATTTGCGGTTCCAGTTATTTGTTGTTCGATAGATTATCAAATCGTTAATACGAACCGGGATTTATATTCACTAAAGCCCGTTTTATCTATCCTACTGACTGCGCCACTAAACTTGGAACACTCTGTATATAGTTTTTTAAAAAGATTTATTTAACAAATTTTTACAAGACAACTTTCATTGAAGAGAACAGATTCTAAACTAAATTATAAAAGTAATATTTTAATGTCTAACAACACAAATATGATAAAAATGTAATACTAGCTAACCGGAGATAATGCTGAAACCGTAGACGCGCCTCGGGCAATGTCCTGTAACTATTTGCATACACTTCCTTTTTTCTAGTAACAGGGACAAATAGTCACAGGACTATTTGTCCTAATAACAGTAACAGGACCTAATAGTTTTGGGTCAGTTATAAGGTCAGTAAAACATTAAGCAGGCTGTATATTACTGAAATCTAGTTATTTTTGAATTTATCCACTCACACTTGACATATTATATTTTTAGGCTTAAATGTTTATTTTATTATATTTTGTTGTATTTTTAGTAAGCGTAGCAACACCTTTGCCGTCCCTCTCATGGTTCAGAGACGATCAGCCCGTAACGAACGAACCAGAAAAGTACATAGTATTCAGAGAAAACCTCGGAGTGTGCCACTTGGACATACAGCCGGTTGAGCTGAACGACCAAGCAGAATGGAAGTGCGTCGCCACGAACGATTTCGGACATTCGGTGACTTCGTGTTTTTTGAAACTTAGCATTCCAAAACATTTCAGGAAACCGAAATTTCTGGAATGTTTGCGCGCGGTACTCACGGAAGAGGGCGCTGTTAACTTAGAGTGTAAGGTTATCGGTGTGCCGCAGCCGGTCTTGAAGTGGTACAAAGATGGAATCGAACTGAAGCCCGGGGATATACACAGAATTACCAGCGGACAGGTAAGTCTTTCTGAAAGTAGAAATGATCATATGAATTATTACCTATTTGAATCCCAAAAATCGTAGGTTAGATTCGGTTTGTCTTTTTCTGACTAGTAGCACAGCTTAACTTAATTAAACTAGTAACATCCAATGTTGTCACCATTGACTTTTGCTATTTTCGTAGTTTTAAGCAATACGTAGGAATGTCATTGAATGGTTTCTAATAAACGAAAGGTTTCATATACAATAAGTAGATTGTATATCACTACTTTCTCTTCTAATATACTGTCATTCTACAATAACTTTGAGAAACTAGTGCTGAAAGCTCTAAAACTTCTACCTTTACCCTTTTTTTATCTAATTTCGGTCTATTACATTATGTACATTACTTACATTACTTACATGTTTTAGAAACATCCAGAAATTATTCCTTTGTAAAATAATGAATTTGTATATCGTATTGCATATCTAGAAGATTGAGTACAAAAATAATATAATTTTATAATACATTTTATTAGATATAAAATTCGGCAGATATTTTAAAATATAGTTTTATTTTATCATACAATTTTTCGTATGATTATTGCATATGATTATTTATTTACCCTTAATTTTTAATTTATATGTCTTAGAAACATCCATAAATACTCCTTTGTAAAATACTGTATTTGTATATCATATTGCCTATCTAGAAGGTTGATTATAAAAATAAAATTTTATAATAAATTTTATAGGTAAAAAATTCGGTAGATATTTTAAAATATAGTTCATATTATATAGCGATACCTTCTATTTAAAAAGTGTGGGTAAAAGTTTAACCCAGTTTAACACATACAGTAATAAAACTTGGTTGACTTTAATTTATATTCATTTTGCTAAATATCAAAGAATGAGCAAACATACAGCACTCTTCTTCTTCTTATGTTAGGTCCATGGACCGGATTTTCTGTGTTATGTTTAATAATATTTGCGGTTCCTTGACTATTCTATTATACTGCATTCTCCTTAGGTACACGTTTCCAAAGCCAGTATTTACGTTAATATTCAGGATGAGAAAAAAGTAAAGCCTCACTTGTCAGACTTTACAGAAACGATAAAGAAATCAAGGGGAATCTAATAACTGAAAAAGCTTTGCATGAGAAGAAATCAAGGTATAAAAAGGTATTAGAACTCTAAAAGACAAAAGAGAACTTTAAAAGACAAAAGAGAACTCTCAAAGAAATTGGAGAACTCTCCCACATACCAAGATTTTTGTAAAAGCTATTGTGGAAAATACAATTTGTGTGGCTTTACAGTTAGTTCCGGCAAATCTTATTTCTTTTATTATTGCTGAAAAACATATAGGTACCTAAAATTGACAGTGGTTCTAGTTTCCCAAGAAATAATTTTTAACTTTAATACTTTATTTGAGAAAGATTGAACTATATATTTCACAAAGAACTTACTGAAAATTATGTCACTTTCGACTGTATGTGGTTTTATACAGTCAGTTGAAGTGTCAAGTGTCAATTGAAGTGAAGTGAACAAAAAAGACAACCTACTCTGCCAAAAAATATACTTTGTTTAAGAGATTGGAATAAGAAAGTAAAACCTATATGATTAGGTTGTAATCAACATAAAATTGTACATAATCTAACAAAATAATAGAAAAATAAGTTAACAAGGACACTGATTTATATGTCAACCACTAACAGAATAAAGTTGCCTGCAAAATTATCTAATAATATATCAATAATATCTAAGTCTACATCCAATTCAATATGAAGGTTTTTTTCTAGTGATCACTTTAAGAGTAATGAACTCTTTCAGATCTTATACGAGCTCCTGAAGAATCCAACGAACGAATAGAATGCAGCGAAACTAGTAGGTATTTTTCCAAAGTTTCAATACCTAGATGCTTCATGTGATACATAGGCCAGTGGAATAGATTTCTAAACAGTAGAGTTCAACTTCTTTTCTTAACCATTCCCTTGAGGATTATAAGCAGTAGTTTTACTTGATGCGATTCTTTTGGAGTTAAGAAACTTTTTGAGTTCGCTGATAGAATTTGAGTTCCTCACCTTTCTCATAAATACCTTATTCAAAAATAATTAGTTGTTTAAATTCTTGATTACCGTTTTGGCACTAACTGCAGCAAGACTGAAATTTTCCGGAATGAAACCGATTGCGGAGATACCACACAATAAGCATGGGAGCGCGGTATTTGTGTGAACTCAAACCATAGTCTCATCTGTGGGAACAAGAAATGTACACCATATAGATGGTGTACACCACTGAGATCGGAAAATGCACAATAACCTCGGTATACAAGCCCCCAAACCAGCCTTTTATATTTTTACCCCCGACTAACTTTCAATCACAACCCAATCAGCTTGTATTGGGAGACTTTAACAGTCACAGTTTACTCTGGGGCTATGTAGATTCGGATGCAAATGGAGACGCAGTAGAAACATGGACCGAAACGAGTGTCCTCACGTTAATCCATGATCCTAAACTTCCACCATCTTTTCAGAACAAAGTTTCGAAAAGATTATATAACCTGAATATCTGTGTTTCAAGTAACAACCTTGAAGACCGATGTACCAAAGTAGTATATGGCCTCATACCAAAAACTTGGACTAATTAATATAAATATCTTTCCAATTGTCAGACCACAAGCTATTCCATTCAGAAGAAGATTTAACTTCAAAAAGGCAAACTGGCACAAGTATGCAGACCTACTAGATTCTGAGCTGCTACGTCTTGAACCAAAAGTAGGCAACTACAAAAAATTTGTAGAGGTACTTAAAACTGTGTCTAGAAAAGCTATCCCCAGAGGATGTAGACAACAATATATTCTCGGGATGTCTAGCGAATTCAATAATGAGAACATACGAAACCCTCTATTCCACTGACCCTTTTAGCCAAGAAACGGTTGACTGCGGAGCAGTACTATTCCAACAGCTAAAAAGTCAAGCCTGACAGGAAAAGTGTATTGGGACCCGTAAAAAAAATGGACATGATACATAGTAGCAAAATAGCATGAAATCTTGTAAAAAACTTGGTGATCCAAGAGAACATAAACCACCTTGCAAGGTTACAGAAAATCAAGTTATTGCTCAACTCCTTAGGAATGAAAGAACTTTGAACCGAAATAGGGACCCAAACACTAGAAAAAGATTGGAGTCGGAGAAAACCCACCTAGCAACTCCTTTTACACTAAAAGAACTCTACGACGGTATGAACAGGTTAAAAACCGGGAAAACTGCAGGTGTGGATGATATATGCAGATCTAGGCCAAGAAGCAAAAAACTGGATCTTGCAATTTTATAACACGTGCTGCAAAACCTGCGAAATTTCAAAATCATAGAGGAAATCTAAAGTAATAGCCTTGTTAAAACCAGGAAAGGACCCAGAAAAAACTATACGAGAGACTCATACACGCCAGAATAGAAAAAAAGTCGACAAGCACCTCATCCCATAACAAGGAGGATTCAGACCCAGCAAATCTTGCACTGGTCAAGTCCTCGCACTAATAGAACACATTGAAGAGAGCCTTGAAGAAAAACTTACGTAATAGGGGCTGCTTACGTAAATTTGACAGCAGCCTATGACAGAGTAAGGCACAAAACGTTGCTCTGCAAATTATACAACACTCTCAATGACCACCATTTGGGTAAGGTCGTATATTCCTTACTGCAAAACAGACGTTTTTTCGTTATGCTGGAGGATAAAGTAAGTAGGTGGAGAGTTAAAAAACGGCCTCCCACAGGGAAGTGTTTTAAAACCAATTCTCTTTAATATATACACAAACGACCAACCTACGCCGACCAAAACCAAGCACTTCCTGTATACTAACAATCTTGCAATATGTGCTCAAGGAAGTGGTTTTAAGTAAGTGAAGGAGAAACTCGAAACTGCTTTAAAAACAATGATCGGGTGCTACTTGCAGAATTCCCTGACCTGCAGAATTCCCTGAGACCCAATCCCTCTAAAACCCAAGTCTGCGCTTTTCACCTTCGCGCAAAGGACGCCAAGCGAAAACTCCAAATTGTGTGGAATGGTAATACATTAGAACACACAACTCAATCTATATACCTTACAGTAACTCTGGACCGGTCCCTCACCTACAGACAATATTGCATAAAACGAGAGGGAAAATAACAACTAGGAACAGCCTACTCAGTAACCTAACGAGAAATAAATGGGGTGCACATCCTGTCGTTTTAAGAACAACGGAAATGGCACTGTGTTTCGCAACTACTGAATATGCGTGCCCCGTTTGGGGCAGATCTGCCCATACCAAACAAGTTGATACTGCGCTAAACAAGACATGCAGGATAGTAACGGGGTGCACGAAACCAACGCCACTCTTAAATCGATATAAATCAGCGGTTTTGCAGAACCCTCAACACGTAGAGGCGTTGCAGACGACATAGAGAAAAGTAAACGGATCGCGGACGAGCATCATGCCCTAGACAAATCTCGAACACCGAAAGCGACTAAAATCTGGGAACAGCTTCGTTGGAACAGTGCAGGATGAATCGCCTGAGTATTTTCCTCTTCCCCAGGTTCAATGAACCGGCCAGTCCCTAGACTTTACACGTGGAAAACTATGAATAGCATAAGAACGGGGGTTGCTCCAGTTAAATCAAACATGGCAAAATGGGAAAAAATCGACCAAGATGATGTGAACTGTGACTGTGGAGAAACACAGAATATTGTACATCTTCTTACATGCAGAAACTCTCCTCATCAATGTACCCTCGAAGATTTGTAGCTCGCCAACAAAGATGGAAGCGACGTAGCCCGATACTGGGCCGAAATTTTATGAATGACATGTCCGGACACGATAAAGTAAAGTAAGGCACTAATGGCACTACGTGGAAAAGCAAATGTGAATCTGGAATACCCATTTAGTACGGTAAGAATATAACGGTTATTGGTATTGAAAGGCAATGCTCGTTAAAAGTGGATAATAAGGCATTAGGTGGAAGATGTAACTTTTACAAGCTTCGAAAAAGGCCGCTCATTCTTGAATTCTCTCGGCTTGATTTTAGCACATACTTAACGGTCACGAGTCATGGTCAAAGGTAAGTTCTTTGATTTTATCCAGCAAAACATACGTGTTACCACTGGATAAAAAGTGACTTGAGTTTTGATGTATCTGACCTCGTGGTAGCAGCGCAGGAGCATATGCGCGATTAAGTATCCGTTGCTTGGTTGTCTTTTTCTGGTCGATACACTACGTCGTATTTATAAGGTGCCAATTTAAGACTTTTTATAAGCGATGGTTGTGAAAGGCTTTCTTATAAAAAATGACTTCATCTTTTTAGAGATTCAAGGATAGCGTACACTTCTTTTTCCACAGCGGTTTAGCTCGCTAGAGTTAAGCGATCTGAATAATAAAATAACTGGTCTGGAATCTTGACTCAAGGTAGCAGTAATCGAGTGTTCTGAAGCATCAGTTTTAACAACAAATGGCATATTTTCGTTGATAGCGTGAAAAAAACGACTTTGTGAGAGTAGATTTCAGATTTTTAAACCAAGACAAATAGCTTCCTTCAATTGAAAATTGTTGACACAAGCTAATGTACAGATCGTTTGGACAAAGTTGGGAATCCACTTTGAATAATGGCAAACATAACCAATACCCTTCTGAGAGATGCAGGATCTTATGGGAAGGAGACGTTTGTAACAAAGAATGTAGTCGGCTACCATTAGGATTTAAGATATAGTTTTATCCTGTAGTATAAACAAGTAAGTTTATTACTGTCTGATTGAATTTGCTCTTTGTTCTGTTTGGATTGAAGCTATATTTGTCGGTGGCTTTCAGGAAGTTCTTAAGATTTTTTCTGATATTCTCTTGTCACGTCTTACCACAAACGACAAAATTGGTATAGTTTCCCAGAGGTTTTAAAGGTTGTATACAGCTTTGTATGTGCACCTGGTGCTATGCACTAAAGTCAGCGAATAATGAATCTTTAGACGCCATTTCTTTGTGTTTGGTTTTTGGTGATATCTAAGGACTTGTACTCTACAAGGGAATTGACGTTCTTTAATTATGCTATGCGTTTAGAAGCTCCTGCACCTACTTTTTAATCAAAATCTGATCCCCAGAACTGGGCCTGGTTCTAAGTAAAGTTATAAAATAAAGGAACTAGAGGAACTAAGACTCCAACTACACTACATGCCTTGAACACTTTTTAAGGTTCTCTAAATTAAAACTCTAGAGTAAAAGATAATTTTTTTTAATGGCCCAATAACTATGAATAAATGTAGCTCTACTTTAAATCATTTTAATATTTTGATTTTTCATAATTAAAATTTTTTAAGGATGGAACATGCTGTCTTGGAACCTACACGTGCGAGGCCAGGAACTGCATGGGAACCGTAGCAAGTTCCGCATCTCTACTGGGCATTGAAGACCAAAAACCGAGAGGTAGTCGACCAGAGCTGGCGCACCAGATTTCTCTGTTGTCGACCATTCACGAAGAAAGAACATCCCAAATGTACGACACTGCTGGCGACCAGTCGATTACTATAGCTGACCACGGAGAAGTCTCCTTCTCGTTCGATGGCAAGGAAGTATCAGTTTCGTTGTATGAAACTCCTGATCTCACCGAGGAGGAAGCTATTCAAATAGTTGAAATGTATGCTGAGCAACTCTCAGAACACTTTTCCGGTAAGATAGGTTATTCATTTTTTTATAGGATTACTAAAATGTGTTTCTGAGATATTTAAATATGCTGATTATTGTGTATTTATGGAGAAAAAACGTTTTGTATTATTTTAATAGTCAGTCTCTAAACTTTCTTTTAAAATCTCCATTTTTTTTGCTCAAACTTTAAAAATAAAGAACGTTAGTATACAAAGTATTCATATAGACACTTTATATTTTGTGAAACAGATATTTTTTAACTTCTTGTTACATTTTTTTAAATGTAGGTACATTTCTTTGTTTCTCTTAATAAATACTTTAAATTAAGTATCATCATGGCATCTAAACTCCTAGCAGAGCAATTCTCGCCCTCTTCAGGCTGTTCCAATTGATTCATCACGGAAAATCAGTCTGCTTTTTTTTGGTTCTGTTATTTTTGGGGAAACTTTGCCTCTTCTACAATCTTCCTTCGATATTTCCTGTTTTGCAGATATGGCTTTTTATCTCTTACCCCAATCTTCCTAAGGTCGTTAATTAGGTGGTCTCCCTATCTCATTTTAGGTTGACTGGTCTAAATTTGACGATTTTCTTGTTAAGTGCTTTTAGATATCTCCTTTTTAGCTATTTCATATATCTGAATCACTGTTCTTATACTAACTTTACTTTTTGCTTCGGATTTTTTAATTATTCGGTCCAGTACTACTAACGCTTCTTGGATGTTGAGCCTTAAATTATCGAAGTTGCAGGTACTGGATCAGTTGTACTGGTTTATCCGTGTGTGCCTCTTCTGTACTTCAGCTTTCTACAGCAGATCTCTCATTCTAGCTTTGTTTTTCTATGGTTTACTATGTTCTCCAATTTTTTCTAATCCTTTCCAAGATTAAGAGAGGGTGGGAGAATATTACGCAGTGATTAATTATACTCAGAGTCGAATCAAATATACCGGCCTTGGATGCGAGCAAAAATTTGAAGAATAAATATGTGAAATATGTGTTGCATAAACACGCAATTTAAATTATTAAATATTTTGTAATCAAAAAACCAAACCCTTTAATTTTTATAATTTGAGTAAAATTTTCCGATACACTGCGCAAAATTACTCACAGGGTAATTTTTCGCTTCTTCTTATGGTGCTTTATCCAATTAGTGAATGTTGGCGACAATTCTGGCATTCTCCTCTCGATCTTGTGTGGCTCTAAAGAGTGCATGGTCATTGATGTTTGTCCAATCTCTTAAGTTTTTAAGCCATAATTATTTCTTTCTTTCGATGCCCCGTTATCCTTCTATCTTCCCTTTCATAATAAGCTTAAAGAACTGGTAC